AAGATCTTCTTCCCAAACCCTCACTGTGAAGGAGAAGCCTCAGCTGGGAGGCAGGGTGGGCTGGGACAGAGGTGAGAAGGGCAGTGATGGCTGCACCAGGACCCTATATGGAGCCAGCCACACATACACATGTGCTGCATCTATCCTACCTCACAGGGAGCGCAGTAGCTCTCGTTCCCCTGCGATGCAGTGACCATTGCCTGTCACTCAAAAGCAAGTGCTGTTCCCTGCCAGGCACTGCCAACACCAACCACCTCCTCACACAGCCCTGGGCTCGGTGGGGAGGATGCCAGTATTTACAGGGAACTCACCAGGCCACATCGAAGCGGAAGCCCAGGTCAAATATTGTGTAGCAGATCCCTGGAAAGCAAGAATGACATGGGAACTTTCAGACAGCCACCAGGTACTAGCCAGGTGCTTCCCTTTCCTCCCCTACCTGTGGAACCCAGGGGCAGAGGGCCAGGAGCACACCACAGTATGCAGGAGGGTTACTGGGAAGACTGGCTCAGGCGTGCAGAGCTGTGGGGCAGGGTGCCCCACCAAACTCCAGCCCCAGTTACCCCAGCACTCCCACATCAGTTCCAGACAGACAGCTTGAATCCACAACGCTCCCAGATTCCATCCCCCCATCCCAGTCTCCACCAAGAAAAGGACTGCTGTGGTTGTTGCACCCGTTTTCTGTTCCCTGACCCTGCTGAGCACCCACGGGCCACGCTGGGCTGAAGGGAGCCCTGTGCCTCAGCATGGTCTCCATCTGCAACTCCCAACGGCTCAGCCCCCCTGCAGCGCCACAGCACCGGGCAACCATCTGTGAACTCTTCTCTCTCACAGGGGAGGCAAGAGGTGTGAGGCTATGCCCTGACTGACCATCGTATGCTGCTCTATCACCATCCCACCAAGGTCCATGCGTCTCCCCAGGAGCCTGTCAACACCAGAAGCTGCAGCTGCCCCCCAGCACTCCCCTTTCCAAGGCTGTGGAGGTTCAAGATGTGCCTGCTGTCCTCAGTGTTTCCCCCAAGGTTAGTCATTTCCAGAGAAATTTGTACTCCAACATAGGCAGGAGCTGCCAAAGCACAACCTTGAGAAACCCAGAAAAGCCCTTCCTTTCCAGGGAGGGATACAAGGGCAGCTCACCCTGCTGTACCCTGAGTGCTCCTCTCCCATGCCGAATCACAGCCAGGAGTCACACCCAGCAGCCCCATGAAGCTGGAGCAGACACAGAGGTGCTTGCACTGAAACCCTGCCTTGCTCTGAGTTCACGAGCAGGAAACACGGCTGCAGACCAGAAGAGACACTTGCTCTTTGTGTGACTTGCAGCGCGCAGCTGGAAAAGAGACACCTGGCCCTAAGGAACAGATATCACAGGCAGCATGGCACTGTCTGTTCTGCACCAGATAAAGAGGGTCTTTAGCATTGCTGACTAGAGCCAGCGGCTGTATGATGCTGATCCCGTGTATGGCTGGAAAAGAGGAAACAGGACACTTCTGAAATGCTTAAAAGCAGCAAAGAGGCTACTGCCATGTGTCCCGCCACTCCCATCCCTCTGGAGTCACAGCAAGCCAGCAGTGTGCCCATAGCAGCACAGGGGCAGGACCCATGTGCCTCAGGTTGGCGAAGCCCCTCCCTGCCTACAGCCAAGACCTGAGGACAACTCATACCATGGGAGAGCCTTAGTGCTGCAGTGTAGGGAGACCTGCCAGCCTCACAGCAGGGATGTCCACATCATCCCCATGTGCTAAACTCCTCTGTATGCAACTTGGGGCTCATGCACTGGCAGGACATGCAAGCACTGCCAGGCAAGCAAGTCTCAAGACAGGAAGCGGTAAGGCTGGTCACTCCTCCCACCCACAGAATCGTGGCACCCCCCTCCCCTGCAGGGACACACACAAACGAGGAACGGTGGCATCACAGCCAGGGAACATGGGGGGAGGCTGCACCCAAGTCCACACAGCTGGCGACCTTCAGGGATGATATTTACGGTGCTGGGCCCAGCCAGTCTGGGACTTGTGTTTTGGCTTCAATGCTTGGCTCCCAGAGCAGGAACCAAACTCAGCCAGCTTCAGCTGCCCCCACTCCCCAGGAGTGGTCAAAGAGAGCTACATCCAGCTCAGGGCAGATCCTCAGGGCACTTTCCATCTCTTCAAGAGCAGATGTAGCCTTGGATTCATATACAAAAGAAACAGGGTGAAGGACGCTTTCCTGTAAGCTCTGGTTCCCAGCCCTGAAGCCAGAAGGGCAGAAAAGAGCCAGGGCAGCAGGACTGAGGCACCAAAGCAGGGCTTAGGAGGGAAAGCACAAAGAGGCACTACAACACTGCGCACAGCAAGACCGCTTCCTGCTCAGTCCTTCCCTGAAAAGGGATTGCAACAGGGCAGGGGAAGTTAAAAGCATCTGGGCTCAGCTCGTCAACATTTTCCAACAGGCTCAAATTCGCAGTGTGTGCCGGTGTGAGCTGTATGATTCAGAGTGCCCAGGAAGCCAGCCCTGGGCCCAGCACTGGGTTCACCAGGCCCTGGAAACACGAGGGAGTGAGACACCCTCAGCTTCTGACTCGGCCTCCCTCCTCACCCAAACACTGAGGCAGGAACCAAGGTCTCCCCAGCCTCTGCCTAGCTTGTGGTCACTTCACTCCATGCTGAAAGAGGAAGTAACCAGCAACTGCAGCACAAGATCTTCCTTTTGAAGTCATCCCCTTCCCAGGAAGCATTAAATGCACCCTCAGTGCCGCTAAGCCCAACACCACCGGCAGCAGAGCCTAGGCTGCCACAAGCTGCAACACAGCCACACACTTTGCAGTTGTCCAGACAAACGTGCACATTTCCTTGTGCTGCCACAGCTTGGCAAAGAGGGAGGGCAATCTCTGCTGTCCAGGAGACCACAGCTATCACAGCCTGAAAAACCAGGCACCTGCCTTTACCTCCCCTGATCCCCAAATCCAAACACAAGCCTTGACTGCCACCAGCACCCTTCTGCTCTCACACACACAATGTGGATCGACTGGACAGGCTCAGAGTGCCGAAAGCTGCGCATCCAACAGCGGCTGACAGATCCATGGAGCTCCTGCGGGTCCGAGCCCTCCACGGGA